GCACGCATGGAGTTACATATTAACAGCGATTGTGAGGGGTGGAAAAAAAAAAACCCTGGTCTCCTTAAATTCAGCCCACTCTTTCATCATCTCCTCAATGAGGTGGTCTCAAAAGTCGCAGTTACAACACACATAGGGCGCACCGCACCATAGGGCGCACCGCACATTTTGAGGGAAAAAAAAGACGTTTAAGTGCGCCTTATAGTCGTGAAAATACGGTATATATATATAGCATGTCTTTCACTTTCTGATTTAGCAAACAAGCCTTAGATCGTCCCACTACCACCAATAAGTTTGACTATATTCATTTTCTAAAATTATTATTTGTTTTATGTCAGATGTAAAGGGGTGACTGCCTTCCTATAAGTTTCTTTTGTCATTCAACAGAAAACATTTCCAAACATCTTTGGATATATTAAATGTCCTTAAAGCAAATGTGGAATGGGAGTTTTGTCTTTTTACACAGAAGTGGGCTTTGCTTGGAACTCTCATAGAAGTCTCTTTTTATATGGTGGACTTTCAACACCAAGTTTAACTGAGATAAATTACACCTGCAGTGTTAGTGGTTGTTTGGGTTCTTTCTAGGTCTTCTGCTTTGGTTGTTGATGCACTCTTGGATAGATTTTGGTTGGCTGGCCTATTTGGAAAGGCTCAGTACTGTTCCATGTTTACTGTATTCATAACTAACGGTTTCTAATTCGGTTTACTGAAATCTCAAAGTCTTGGATATTACTTGGTTAGTTTTTATAGAGTGATAGATGAAAATAACTGCTTTAACTTTGGAGCAAAGTATATATGTGGGGTTTTTAGGGGTTCTTTACTTTAGTTTCTTCCGTTTTTAACGCATTCTCTGTTTCAGTAATTTCTCGGTTCTACGGTAATGCAGAAATCATACCAGGGTGTGGCAGATAAAGCTGAACCAAATAATGTGGTTAACAAGGTGGACAATTATATTTTTACATAAGGTCTGGTTTTAGTGGGGAGGGGGCAAGTATGCTTTACATTATTATTTAAAAATAAACTGCGTATGTCTTTTTTTCCGACGACAATAGTTAGTTTGATGAACTGCAACATGTGATAAAATAATAACAGAATAAATATTTATTAAGCCAAGTACTATTCTACAGCGCTGCACTACTAAAATGTCCATGCTTTCCTGGAGTTACTTTTCTCATTATGTTTTAGGAACATGGGGTATGGCCAAATCCTCCACCGACATGGAAAAGAGGAGGACCAGGTCAACCTCAATGTGGGAGGGGTACGCCACAAAGTGGACCCAGAGATGTTATTCCGCTTCCCTCAGACACGCTTGGCTCGTCTGCTGCACTGTCAAAGTGAGGCAGCCATCTTGGAGCTATGCGACGACTACAACCCAACTGAGAAGGAGTACTATTTCGACAGGAACCCTCGGGTTTTCCTCTGCGTGCTCAACTTCTATCACACAGGCCGCATCCACATGATGGAGGAGCTCTGCATTTTTTCTTTCTGTCAGGAAATTGAGTACTGGGGCATCCATGAGGCACATCTTAGCCCCTGCTGCAACACCTGGTACCATGAGAAAAAGGAATACATCGAGGATAAAGATTGGGACATCCGGAGTGAGGAGCAAGAGCCGAGCTTCGATTCCTCCTTTGAGGAGCTCTCTGCTCTTGATAAGGACCTGGCTAAGTTCAAAGGGGCATGGTGTGGAGAAGTAAGGAGCTACATCTGGCTCAGGCTAGAGGATCCTGCTCACTCTAGAGCTTCAAAAATTATCGCTATTGCTTCCCTCTGTGTGGTGTTGACCTCTATCATTGCCATGTGCGTTCACAGCATGCCCGAGTTTCAGCAAGTGGACGACAATGAACGACCCATTGAGGACCCTGTCCTCACCACCCTGGAGGGGATATGCATTGCCTGTTTCTCTGTAGAATTCACCATTAGGTTTATTGTTGCTCCATCCAGGAGGAAGTTCCTCGGAAACCCTCTGAACATCATTGATGTTGCTTCTATTTTGCCGTTTTATGTCACACTAGCTCTCGAGAAATCTGACGAGGAAAGCTTGGAGGAGAGTGAAGACTTGGAAAACGTAGGGCGGGTGGTGCAGGTTCTACGGCTCATGAGGGTTCTTAGAATACTTAAGCTTGCCCGCCACTCCGTCGGACTGCGAGCTCTAGGTGCTACCGTCCGCCACAGCTACCAAGAGGTGGGTCTGTTGATTCTCTTTCTCTCAGTAGGAATGTCTGTGTTTTCCGCTCTCATCTACTTTGCTGAGAAGGACGAGAAGCACACAGATTTGGGAACAATCCCTTCAGGTTGGTGGTGGGCCATGATCACAATGACCACTGTGGGTTATGGTGACACATGCCCAGTGACGGCGGCAGGGAAAGTAGTGGCCACCTTATGCATAATCTGTGGCCTGTTAGTGGTGGCTCTGCCCATATCTGTGATCTTTAATAAGTTCTCAAAGTACTACCAAAGAAACAAAGCCATGGATGTAAGGTGCATTACCAAGCCTGAAAGACAAGACCCAGAGCTCCCCTATTATAACATCAAAGAGCTGTTCACAGGTAGCGTGTATCCCTTTATAGGAAGCCTTGCCTTTAGGAACAGTGTGAGCAGCAGAGGGGACGACACTGATGCCTCCAGCCTCCAGGACATTGAGGTGAACCATAATGACACTTGAGAAAATGGGCCAGCAAAATGAGATTCCAGCCATTTCACAGAGTATCACTCTCTATGACAGCCAGTCACTCCGTGCCTCTGGGGGCAGCGCGTACTATCACTTACCTTGCCTTCCCGTACCGTCTTCCTTCCTCCTGTGGTTTGACAGAGAAATATGTTTAGACCCAGAATTTTTTGTGTCTATGTGTGTCTGTAAAATATATTGTGTCATAAAAACCAGAAAATCCAAAGGGAATTATCTGCACCCTCCTCTGAGGTTTGAAAGCCCATTTTCTGCTCGAGAAAACTGCAATGATGCATGTAGGAGGCCATAATGTTAATGTTTTTCAAAGTAATGTCGTTTATTGATTTCCTCTGCTTGCTGAAAGTTCAGATGGAGACTTTGCCAGATGCGAGTGCCCGGAGTGACAGCAGTACAGTTTGCAGCTTGCATGGCCCAAACCGAAATGCATTTTTCGAAAGCAAAACATTAAATGATCACATGAAATATGAAATAAGCCTGGTTGAGAGAAAATGCACATCTCTTAGAACAATGTGAATGCAGAGGCTGATTTTTGGCAGAACTGTGAACATGAAATAAAAAAAATATTATCTGCACTCAGATATCTGTTGTTACATTTTTTTTGTCTTCTCTCAGAAAAAGAAAAACATTTCAAACCTAAGAAAATGTAATCAATTTAATCGAAAAAAGATGCACCTGAAAAATTCTTTATCTGCTTACTCTTCTCTGTTCTTTAAAGTATTGATCTCCTGTCCCCAGTTGCAATTTCCACTTGGATGATCTGCTCTACCACAAAAAGCAATGTCCAAAAATCTGGTCTCTACAGGGGACATCCGTGCAGTCATGCAGTTGATTTGAAGCATCTTCTGGCACAGCAAGATGTCACTTAAAGCATTACTATTCTGACAAAAAGAAAAGTTGATTTGGTTTTCTTCTTAGTTGGTAAACTTAAATATGTTAAAGACATAAAACCTATAAAAAGAAGACTCACAACTGACAGTTAAAGGAAGCTGGATTCTTGCACATATTGTGTTTTTCACATTAATACTAACCAAAACAGATAAATACAATTACTCTCAGGTTGTTCAATAAGTTTAGAAAATGAGTTTCGATCCATGGTGTTTCTTTGTGAGGTGTTCATCACTTAGAGGATTAGCATATTGCTTGATCCACATTCTGTTGAATGTTTTTGTAACTTGCCTTAAGCATCATTGACAGGCGAGAAATCCCCCCCCCCCCACGCTTAGTTTATTTTATATTGTGGCTGTCAGCCACATCTCTACCGGATTAAGACATAAATATATTCTGAACAAGTTGTTTTTTGTAGGAGATGAGACAAAAATCTCTATGAGAAAAGCAAAAGAAAAAGAAGCCTCCTATAATCACTGATCAATTTTTTGCATTTTTCCATTTGCGGAAGAGCTTTAAGTTTTTCAGGTTTAAAGGTTGGCTTGCTGTTACCAAACACTTTAGTTCCAGCAATAAATTCTTTGTCTGAGTTTTGGACTCTTAGCAGGCTCCAAAAAAAAAATGCATTAAAACATTAAATCCTGTTTAGAAGAAACATGTATGCAAAATCAAGATCGTTCCATAAAACCCTAACAGCAAATGTAGCATATAGGCCACCAAATCTGATTTGAGTCTCATCTAACCAGAGCACCATCTTCTACATGCTTTCTGTATTGTCTACATGACTTGTGACTTATACTTGAGTTTTCCTTTCTTCAAATTATGTAAAAATGGTGAAAAAAAGCTCTTAATTGTAAATTACAGCTTTAACATAGTGCTTAATGAGTAACTTGACTTAAAAAAAGGAGCGGTACTCAGATCAGATTTAGTCTTTCCGTTCCTGACCCTGCATTACCTAATAAGCATGTAAAGCCTCCTGCTCTGCTCCGGCTGCCATTGGGTGTGGAGTTTTTAAAGTAAATTAGAAAAATGCCAATTACTTGAAAGGTCAGAGCAAGTGTGTCAGCATAAATATTGCTACAGAGAGAATTTATGTCTGGGTTTCACGTGCGTTAACTTGAGGCCTTTTTTTATAACCCATGAAATTAAAAGGCTTTTATTACTTTAATGCTAAAGTGGATCTGCTTACTTCATTAGATTAATTGTTGTGCACATAGAGCAGATTTTGACAACAAATTTGACTTTGAGATTTCTATTTTAATGAATTGTAATGCTTACTGACTGCTTATGGTGGGGAACTACAGTAGAGCACAAGGATATAAGCTGGAGGATTTGATTCCTGTCAGAAATGCAGGGAGTTTTTACCCTTTTTACTACGGAAAAAGAAAAAAAAAAACACAGAACAAATCAGTTATGCTTTTTTTAAGATCTATAAGACAAATTGCAAATGCAATGATAATATATATTTATTAGATGCAAAAAAATATTTTTTTTAACAATATATAGCGTGTACAATACAGTGCAGTCAATTGCCTTTAGATGTTACTATCTGACTGGTCTGTAGTTTCATCTACCGTATTTTCACGACCATAAGGCGCACCGGACTAAAAGGCGCACTCTCAGTTATGTGTCCCATTTCTGTATTTAACACACACATAAGGCGCACCGGACTATAGGGCGCGTTTTTTATATACAGGTACATGTCCTCTACTACCTTTAAATACGGTACCTCTACTGCGTATTTAAAAATAGAGCGGGAGCAAAACTGAGTATGTATTTATTACAAAGTATTAATC